TTTATTTAATTAATATATTAGACTCTTTAAATATGGTAAAGACCATGTGTTACCTTCATTCATGTCATCATCTTCTTTAGTTGCCTTAATAAAAACCAGGTCATCATCGTCATTTATGGGGATGCCCTATGGAAGTAAGTAATTATTTTTTGGATTTTCAAAAAATAATTTTGATCGGGGATCCAAGTTTTTTTTTTCAAGGAATTAAACTGTCGATTTATTGCATGGGTTGATGGTCCCATGTGTGCACGTTCAAAAGATATAATGCTTATGTTATTGTGATCAATCAACAAACTGAAGGCATAATCTATAAAACTCTAAGTGTTGCCGAAGAGTTACGCCGACCGGAGGCGTTCGGACTTGGAGTTCCAGGTGGGTGAGATGGTCATCCTGAAGGTGTCACCCTGGAAGGTTGTCATCAGATTCCGAAAGCGGGGCAAGCTGGCCCCCAGATTCATATGTTCGTTCAGGGTTTTGGCTCGGGTGGGTCGGGTTGCTTACCATTTGGACCTTCCAGCAGAGCTCAGTCAGATCCACAACACATTCCATGTATCTCAGTTGCAGAAGTGTTTGGTGGACAAGTGAGCAGTTATACCATTGGAGGATATTTAGGTTGATAGCAGCCTGAATTACATCGAGAGACCCGTTGCGATCTTGGATCGGAAGACGAAGACTTTGAGGAACAATGTAGTCCAGCTAGTAAAGGTGTAGTAGCAGCACCGGAAGGGTTCAGAGTGGACGTGGGAGTCTGAGGAGGAAATGAGAGAGCATTATCCGGAGTTGTTTTCAGATTCAGTAGCAGCAGACTTGAGGACGAAGTCTGATTCAAGTGGGGGTGATTTGTAACGATCGTCTTTCAAGGTATTAATTATTTATTTTTTTTAAATTATAATTGGGCCAAGTATGGATAATATGAGTATTGGATTGGACTTATGCACTTGGACCAAAGGCTTGGGGCGCCCAGATGACTTACGTTGGGCGTACGTGGGGCGTAATGGGGGGCAGTTAGAATCGGGGGCGCGCACACGTACGCGCAGCGTACGTAAATAGATAAGGAAAACCCTAATTTAGGGTTTAAGATCTATATAAACCCCATTATAGCCTTCTACCTAGTTTCTTATCAGCCTACTCACCCACAAGGAAACCCTAACTCGTTCTTACCCCTTCTCATTGTGTGAAGTTGCTTTTGTGAGTGTTTTTAGTGGAAGAAAGTTGTGAAGAAGGAAAAGAAAGGTTGGAGAAGAAGCTTGAGCTCAAGGATCTGGACTAAGCTCACCCTTTTGTCACAAAAGAAGGTATAAAGCACTTAACTTTCTTCCTCATATTCTAGATCTGGGGTTTTGGGAGTTTTGGACCTCTTTAGGTCCAAAGGTTGGACCTTGATCTTGTGAATCCGTTTTTAAGCTTGAGGTTGCCATCCTTGAGGCTCAAAACACTTTCTTAGCAATAAAGTTTCAATCTTTGAGGCCTTCATGAATCCATGCAAGAGATCTAGCCACTTTCATGGAAATAGATTATTGTTTTTAAGGTTTGAGCTTATGTGAGTCATGTAAGCCATCAAGTAAGCAACTTTATGGTTTAAGGCATGGAATAAGACTTGGATATAAGTTTGTAGCTTCTGACATGAAATATTAAGCACTTAATAGAGAAAGGACTTAACAGGGAATTACGTTGAGCGTAAATGGGAGTACGCCCAGCGTACCCGACATCGAACATTTACGTTAAGCGTACTTCGGAGTACGCCCCGCGTAACTCAGTCAGTTTGGACCTTGGGTATTTGGGCCTTGGTGTGGGTTGTATTTTGACCTTGGGCCTTAGTGGGCCAGCAGGAGTCAGAGTATGGGCCAAAGGCATTTTGGGCTTAAGTGGGGCCATATGAGGAGTTAGGCCCAATTTAGAAAATTAGGCCTTTAGTGGGCCTTTGGTGAGCCATTAGTGGACTTAGAAAGAAGTAAAGGGTTTAGGCCTTGGTTAGGACCCACGCCATAGCAGGGGTAAAATAGTCATTTCACCCATAAAAGGATCCTCGTTTTGATTAAGTGTTTTACTGGTCATGATAGCCGGAGAGCAGCCGGGACAGCAGCCAGTGATCCTTCACTCGGATTTTCAGCTATCAGTTCTTCGAGGTGAGTTTCCTTCCAGTATGAACGGGTCTAGGGCCACAATGTCGGTCCGTTTAAATAGCAGTAGTTCCGAACTGCGGTCCGATGCCAGGGTGGTCCCAAGAAGTAGTTTAGTATGCTTGATATCTTTGTGATTCAGGCATGTCTATGTGTTATGTGTTCCGGACTACGGTACGATGCAGTATGTAGTATATGTGTTATTGTTATATGTTATAATTATGTTATGCTATGTTCAGTCAGTTTCGAACTTCGGTCTGATGCAGAGGGCGAGGCCCTAGTTAGTTTCGGACTTCGGTCTGATGCAGAGGGCAAGGCCCTAGTCAGTTCCGGACTTCGGTCTGATGCATAGGGCGATGCCCTAGTTAGTTTCGAAATTCGGTCTGATGCAGAGGGTAAGGCCCTAGTTAGTTCCGGACTTCGGTCCGATGCAGAGGGTGAGGCCCTAGTTAGTTTCGGGCTTCGGTTTGATGTAGTGGGCAAGGCCTAGTATGTGCTTTATATGTTATTGTATGGTATGTGGTAATCTGGGGGAGCTCACTAAGCTTCGTGCTTACATTTTTAGTTTTGGTTTCAGGTACTTCAGCTAGCAAAGGAAAGGGCTCGGGATGATGACATGGCACCCACCACAGTTTTAGCCTGGGAGTTAGACTCTGATATTTGACATGATTTGACATCTAATGTGATATGAAACATATTTATAATATCTTGAGATACATGACTTGTGGTTTTTCTATATGATGTTGAATATTATGGTTTTAGTGATATTTTCAAACGAAATTTTTGGCTTGTGTTTTTGGGACGTTTCATTGACTCTCACCAGTACCATTATGTCTGTCTTCTCTCCACCTCATATTGTTTTCTCTTTTTCTTAAGCTCCCAAACTGGTTATGGTGTGGAGGATGGATGATTTTAATAGGAAATTGTTGTAATGAACCAAAATTTTAACTCAGAGTATCTACGGATCTATCAGAGTTTTCTCTAAAAATGTGAAATTCTAAAATCAAAACATCTTACATCCCACGTTGTTTCGGGTTTACAATAAATCATAACTCTAATATAGCGCAACAAGGAAATGTCATAAGTATAACTACTTCTAGTCGAAGTCATTGGTACTTCCAAATCCTCTCGTACAATGGCTACTACCTGAACCTTCAACACATGAAAACATGAAAGGACCTACAACATCAGACCACAAGTCTGGTAAGTTATACTTTAATCTGTTATTATGTATTCATATTCTACCACTCTTGTTCTTTCTTTCATTTGTCTTACTCTATCTCACATCATGCATTTTCATCTTTTTTTCATACTTGTCTTATACTCTATCTTCATGTCTTCTCATGTTCACTCCGTGCTCTATTCATATTCTATGTCAGCCTCTCCCCGACTCCTCTTATTCCCTTGTCTCGCCTCATTTCTTTCTTCTCGTTGTACTCTATCCATACCTCTTCTAATTCACTTCTCTCTCAACTAATACTCTATTCTCATTTTATGGCATACTCACTCCTCTCTTCGTCCTATCTCATCCTTGCTCTTATTTCTTCTTTTCATATTTCCATTCTACTTTTGTTTAGAGCAAACAGCTTAATCACATATGATAGCTTCACCTATTATGTAGGGGGACAACATATGTTAACCTTACTGGTGTACATTCATTCAGACTTAGTCCTATCATCATGATCATATACAGATCACTTGAAAACGTTTATTTTCTTAAATCCCTCGTGGATTACAATTATCCCTTATGAATCCTCTACACTTAATCCTTCATGTATTATACCAAGTTTATCTAAAGAAACTTTTACCTTGTTCCACTTATAGAACCCTTTCTCAATCTTATATAACCACATATCATCTCATTCCCATAGGAATCCTCTATCTTTATTCTCGAATGAATCATTTATCTCCGATCCTGAAGGAATCATCATCTCATTCCCATAGGAATCATCTATCTCCACTCCCGAAGGAATCATCTATCTTCATTCCCAAATGAATCTTCTATCTCCATTCCCAAAGGAAACATGACCTCATTTACATAATCTTTCATGTGAATCAGTGAATGTTATGGTCTCACCATAGTCTTATACATCACATCCCTCATATCATTTTATCTCATCATCTCCTTAAGAGATCTTCTACTACCACTTTAGTACTCAACTCATTAAGTACTTAATTTAAATCTTCATCTACTAAATGTATGTATTTAACATAATACCATTACTATCTAAACATACATATATACTTTATCTTCATATATTAGCTTGTAGGTATTTAACAAACCTCTAGTCATACATTTGTACTCTATCTTCGTATAATATATGATAGGTATATAACATAATACCATCTATATTTAACCCTACATACATACTTTATCTTCTTCTATTAGCTTGTAGGTAATATCATTTACATCTAACCATACCATCCACATTCTATCTACATCTAATATATCTTAGGTATTTAACACAACAGCCTAACATATAAACATGCACATATAATAGCATTAACATATTACATGCATACATAATCTAATAAGAGAGTGAATTATAACTCACCTTGTTAGTTAGTGAAGTCTAACTACCCTTGGCTTCTAATATTTAATTAAAACATCTTGATCCATCTTCTTTGCTCAAGGCTTATTCATACAACATATGAAGCTCATTGGAACTTGTGTTAGCCTATTAAGTGCTTAATCACTCTTTATATTAAAATGATCACTTAATTAATCATAATTCTAACATTTCATCTTTCACCTCTAAATCTATTTTACCTAATGTATTAAGCAACTCATACTACTTAGCTCTTTCACTCTAATATCTAATGCATGAACTCATCTTCCTCACTAGTTAAGGTTTCAAACCCTAACTTTCCATATTTGCATTTTACTATCAAAATCACATATAAAGCTTATTTAAATTTGCAAAGCACTCTCAACAACA